GTTCATCAAACTCTTACGGACCTCTAGCTCGACGTTGCTAGGCAGTTCGGGAAGTGTGCTGAGCTGCGCTTCGATCTCGCGCACGCGGGTCACAACCTTCTGCTTGATCGATGGCAGGCTGTGTCATGTTATTAGCATCAAAGCTTAGGCAGGGCGAAGAGATGTGCTACTCACTTCTTGGCAAACTCCTTGCCCAACTTCTCAGAGAGGGCTGTTTTGAGTTTCTCCACACCACATCTGTCACGGAAGGAGTGGAACTCCTCTGGCCAACGTGCACTAGAGTTGTCATGAAAGTAAGCTTCTTCCCACAGCTGCTGCTCCTCAAGCTTGCGGTCAGACGGTCGGGAAGTGATGAAGAATTCGTGACCGATTCTGTGGCGCTCTCCGCTCAACATAGAAAGCCATTGGGCATAGTTACCCTCGGGAAGGAGGTCTGCCTTGGTCATCACGCCGATGGTACGCTGCTGGGCCCTGAGATCGCGGATGATTGAGAGCGTAGACGAGGTCTCAGGATCAACGTTCATGGGGACAGCCCAGATGATGAGGGCGCCTTCATGGGAGATGTACTCGCGAGCCAAGTTCTCCACGACAGAGACGAGGTACTCATCCTCCTCCCGGGCTGAGTTGCGGAAAATGCCCGGCATGTCGTAGAAAGAGAGGTCGGGCAGGTCGGGACCCTTGATCTCGAGGGCTACCGTGTTGGGGCTGAACTTGGCAGCCGTTCTCTCCGCCTCCTCGTCCAGCAGACTTTGCTTGGTGATTGCGCCGGTGCCGGGAATGTAGAGTTCGTGATTCTGATCATGGTTGAGGATGGCGATCTGGGCCCATCGGAGGACTGTGTCAATGTCGGATTGATCATAGATGGTCATGAACTCCTTGACAACGCGAGGCTGCTTAACCCAGGGCGGAAAAGGGTTCTGCGGGGTGACGTCGGCCTTGGTGATCTCGTAATCGCCAGGAGGGCAAAAGGCGTAGTCCTGCTGGAGAGATACACGACAAGACCACTCGGGACCGCCGCGATCCCTGGCCATGCTTCGAGAAACACGAATGTGGATAGGGCAGCGAGTGCAGACCCCATCACTGCGCGGAAGGTTGAGACCAGCGAGACCGGACATTAAGCTGCTCTTGCCAGCGGACTGGTCGCCAACTAAGACGAGTTGGGGAAGAGCGACATCGTGAGAAACACCAATCTGCTGGAGTTCGCCAAGAGTATCATTGAAGACCTTGAGCTTTGCGCCAATGTCGCGGAAGGAGCCATCGAAGAACGAGGAGTCCATCTGGGTGCCGCCCAAAGGGCTTGCCATCTCGCGATTCCTCACTTGCATCAGGACGGGTTCACTATCGTCAACAGTGGGGTTCGTCATGGCAGTGCGGACGGACCGGGTCGCCAGGCTCATAGGCGGTTTATTGGAGGGGGGAGCTGTGAAATGTCAGTATCTGGAAATAACGAAAGACGTTGTGAGGTGGATGACTTACGAGCGTTGGATCTGGGGAACAGCTGGGACGCATCCGCCGCTGAGGAGTAGGTGCTCGGAGGAGCCTGGCTTCTCTGCTGCTGAACGGGAGATCCGTTCAAAGTGGCAGTCGGCGACACCGGTGCATGGAATCCCGGCTCTGCCTTGATACCTCTCTTAGACTTCGTCATGTTGGATGAAGTTCAAGTGAGATATGTATGCCGAGAAGTGTTGGTGGTGGTGAAGGTGGGTATGAGAAGAAATTAGGAGAAGGTGCGATTGAGAGGTGGGAGATTTTTAAAGAGTGAAGAGAAGGTGGGAGAACGTGTAGGTCTAAACAGGCAACGACGAAAAAGAAGAGAGAAGGGACGTGAGGCAAGGCAGACGGTCAGTCGGTAGTTGCAACCTGAAGCTCAAGAAGCTGGAGGAAGGAGCTTGGGAAGCAGAGCTTTAAGAGCTCTTTCCTCGTCTGCGTCGGCCAGAGCAACGTGAGGTCCCACGCTCCAGTGATGCTCACTAAAGTGCTTGTGAGCGTTAGGCGTGACTTTGGAGGTGGTGTTGCTCAGTCGGCACTTTCTCATCAGAAACGGTCGAAAACAAATAAAAACTCCTCAAGCATTATCTCAAGATCTATTTAGTCGGTTGACAGAGTTTTAGACATATCTACGGCAAGAACGCTGGTCATATGTGGTGATGCGCATTGTAGTCTCTTGTACTCGGTAGCAGGAAATATTGCGGGCTGGAGTAGACGAGGTGCATCGTTGGAGTTTTATCGAGCAGGGGTTTAAAGGAGCTCAGGGATGGCTCGAGTGGCCAGCAGTGGAGCTTGGCCGTGACGATCCCCTGGAGAGACGCGATTTGGTACCTGGCAGAGCTCCCCAAAGCGCACCGCAATCTGCCAAATTTTGCGGGCGAGATGTGAGGCCTCACCTGGTCAACGAGGTCACTCCGGTTGCTTTCCAGGCACCTCCTGTCGCGTCTACCACTGGCAAACACGCTCGGACGCGCTCTAGTCTCTACGCGTAAAGTGTCCGGATCTCCAAAATTCTCGATGAGGTTGGAGGAGGTTGCCTGACTTACACCAGACTTGCTGCCTCTGCAAAGAATGACACAACCGAATTCGATCAAATGCTCCAAGTTATGCTGCTGGGGAGTTATGCATCTGAATAAATATCTACCTATCTGATCTAGTCTTCCTGATGATTCCAAGAAGGAGAATCAAAGAGAACAGATATGCCATTGATAACAGCTGCAGCTCAAGACCTCAAAAAAGAAAAGGAAAAGGCATGGCGAATCTCAAGGGACACGAATGAGATGCTGAGCTCATCACATGTGGTCCCTGCTCCTGTGCAACTTGTGCAGCTGCTGAGGCTTGCGCAGTGAGCAGTTCCCTCTTATCGCCAGCTTATCGCCTTTGTCCAGACAGTAAGGGACTTTGCCGCCACAACCCGGCCTTGCACGAGCCACCCGGACCCCTGCCAGACATGCATCGCCTGTAAATTATTCTTAGTCCAGACCACCAGACCAACCAGCCAGCAGTGCGGTGCAGCTCAGGTGGACGTCAAGGTCGACTTCTCAGGGGGGCTGTTCGAAATCAATCCCACGAAGCGGTGACGTTGCAAATTGGCGATTCTGCTCTCTACTTCCCACCCTCCGACCTACCATCACCACCCTCAAACCTCCTTCGTCCAGTCGCAATCATGTCGCTGCAGGTCCCCTACCGAGGAAAGGCGTCCCAAGAGGGCGCAACCAAGGCCGTCATCCTGGTATGAGCAACCCTTTTTCGCATTCATCCTCTGAATCTGCGGCGCAACCATCTCCAACTCCCCCGCCTCGGTCCAGGGTCGCTCCCCTCCCCTCCTCCCCTCGTGTTCCCATGCCCAAACCACAACAACAATAGCTTTTCTGCAAACGGAACAATCGCAGGCTAATCATGACTCTTCAAAACTCCAGGTCGGCGGTCCTTCCAGAGGAACTCGATTCCGCCCCCTCTCCCTCGACGTCCCCAAGCCCCTCTTCGAAGTCGCCGGCCACCCCATCATCTGGCACTGCCTGACGGCCATCGAGCGCGTTCCCGGCAAGGAGATCACCGAGGTCCTCATTATCGGCTACTATGAGGAGTCTGTCTTCCGCGACTTCATCAAGGACGCCACCAACGAATTCCCCAACCTCTCCATCAAGTACCTGCGCGAGTACGAGGCCTTGGGCACTGCTGGCGGTCTCTACCACTTCCGCGATGCCATCCTCAAGGGCCGCCCCGAGCGCCTCTTCGTCCTGAACGCCGACGTCTGCTGCTCCTTCCCTCTCCATGAGATGCTGCAGCTCTTCCACGACAAGAGCGCCGAGGCCATCATTCTCGGCACCCGCGTCTCCAATGATGCCGCCACCAACTTCGGTTGCATCGTCAGCGACGCCCACACCCGCCGCGTCCTCCACTACGTCGAGAAGCCCGAGTCGCAAATCAGCAACCTGATCAACTGCGGTGTCTACCTCTTCTCCACCGACGCCATCTTCCCCTCCATCAAGACCGCCATCAAGCGCCGCACCGACCGTCCCTCCCGCCTCGTCTCCTACCCGAGCTCCGAGAACCTCGAGAACAGCTTCATCCTCAACGACGACGATGAGGAGCGCAAGAACGAGGTCATCCGCCTCGAGCAGGACATCCTCGGTGACCTCGCCGACACCAAGCACTTCTTCGTATACGAGACCAAGGACTTCTGGCGCCAGATCAAGACCGCCGGCTCCGCCGTCCCGGCCAACGCCCTGTACCTGCAGAAGGCCTGGCAGAGCGGCTCCAAGGAGCTTGCCGAGCCGAGCGCCAACATCATCGCTCCTGTCTTCATCCACCCCACTGCCCACGTCGACCCCACCGCCAAGCTGGGTCCCAACGTCTCCATCGGCCCACGTGTTCACGTCGGCCCGGGTGCTCGCATCAAGGAGTCCATCGTCCTCGAGGACTCGGAGATCAAGCACGACGCTTGCGTTCTGTACTCGATCATCGGCTGGGGCAGCCGCGTCGGCGCCTGGGCTCGTGTCGAGGGTACCCCCACGCCCGTCGGCAGCCACACGACGAGTATCATCAAGAACGGCGTCAAGGTCCAGAGTATCACCATCCTCGGCAAGGACTGCGGTGTCGGCGATGAGGTGCGGGTGCAGAACTGTGTCTGCCTGCCGTTCAAGGAGTTGAAGAGGGTGAGTCTGCTGTTTTCCCCTTCAGTCGCGCAACGAATGCTAACAACGATAGGATGTTGCAAACGAGGTCATCATGTAAACCGGAGTTTCGGGGATGCGTTGGATGCGTTGGGGGGGGGATGGGACGACGTAATGATGAAGATATTTGCATCGGGGTCGGATAGAGCTCCCATCATTCTTCATAGATGCATGCGTCTTTGGTCACAAAAAGCAATCGAATTCAGCCATTTCAGATTCACCACCGTGCTTTTCTCGAATATGTTCTCGCCGATATTTTCTTTCTAGGATGAATGTGTCGGCGAAATCGTCGTTCACCATAAAAAAAGGCCCGAGTACATGAAGATCTAAATACCTTCAAGCAGTTTCATACATATCGAGTATGTTCCAGTCTCTAGCCAAGGCTGACTCACGCAGCCGGAGACGCGTACGAAATCGACTCAACGTCGCGACGACATCTTGACTCAGAACCGTCGTATCGTCCTTCATTTCTTTCCCATGCCGGTCCCGTACCATTGCCCTCCAAACCTCCAGAGCATCCAGACCAATAGTGAAGCCGTCTATGGTCGTCTCCAGCTGCAGTGCCGTGTGCACATCGCACACCTCGTAGCGTAGCAAAGTCCCGATCGTCTCTCGCGCGTCCCAAAGCTCCATAAGCCTCAGCTGCGGCATCTGGGCAGCCGCTCCCCCAGCTGCGAGGAACAACTCGTTTCCCAGCTCGGGTTCGAGCACCCGCGCGGTTCTCAAGTTGATCGTCGTGAGAAACGGCCACGTGCGATGGTTGTACCTGCCCAGAGAGGTGGCGCCGAAGCCGCGGAGGAATTCTAACGCGTCGACGGGCGAAGATGCGCTGAAGGACTGCAGTTGTTTGCAGGCTGCGACGGCGTCGAGGGCTAGGCTGAAGTCTCTGTGGCACTGTGCCAGTATCATATCGCGGATGGGCGGTGTTTCTGGGGACTCCTTTAACCGATGGACGGCATCCCAAGCGGAGGTAAGACGCGGATCATCGCCGGCCACAACGCCGTCGTTTAGGCATTCCACTCGTGCTTCCTGCAGTGAAATGCTGCTCACCGTCTTTGGCAGGCGTCGGAGCAGGTGTCGAGTCGCCCGGTTGCGCTGCCCTATGTCCTTTATCGTCATACCGCGCCAAGGCTCGTAAACGACCTCTCGCAGTCTTGGGAGACAACTGAAGACGGTAGCTATCGCCTCTGCAGAAAGACTCCGACGCGAGTCACGGCTGACTGCGAAATTTGTGACAACAGGTACTTGAAGTTGGTCGAACCGCAAATCGGCACCGCGACTTCTCGGGTAGATGTTCGTGTCGGTGTCAAGAAGTTTCCCAAGAATCCGTTGCTTGGCTAAATGGAGGCCTGGATCGTGGTAGTAGCCTACGTGAACGGCGAAAGAAACCCTACAGTTATGTCGCTGTCGTCCAATCGTAATGTCGTCCAGGATGTGCGCCGTATCGCTGGCTGAGGCGGCACTGATCTCAAGCGTGAGCCCTCCGCCTCTGGGCTGCCACTCGGCGAGTTTGTTTAGGAGCACGAGAAGTCGCCCAGTGAAGGCTGCGTTGTTGGCTCTAATATTACGATCGTCCTCCGGGCTGTCGCAATCTTTGCAGGTGTAGACCTGGAGGGGCACATGCAGTCTGATGCGCTTGACCTTCTCGCGGAGGTGATCGGTGACGTAGTCGGAGAACGTGTGGATATCTGTGTAAGACCGGAGCACCAGGCTTGAGAAGTTGCGATCCTCGAAGAAATGGCGCCAGTCCCAGCAGACGCTGGGCCACGCCCTGCGTTTGGTCTTGTCTGCTGCTGTGTTAGCCAACAGATCCAAAATCCTGAAGCGGATCTCCGTGGGCAGATCGAACCAGTTGTATGGACCCATGGTTGTTGTGAGTTTGGTTGAAGGGCTGGCTGAGCGAATGTGAGGGTGTCGAAAAGGGGTTTCTCAGACGGGTGCAAGAGTGGAAGATGCACGGCAATATGATTAAGTAGCAGACTTTATACTTATTTTTCCCCACCCTGAGTGGCGAGCATCCATAACGGTAGACTGAGTCGGAGAGCTCCAAAGGTGCGCATTTTCGCCAACAACAGCCGCGATCACAGGACCTCCCAAACTCAATTGCATGTATTACTGTCACATTTCCCCCAAAGCCACGCGGGCTGACACATATGCTCACTTGGTTTGATAGGCATGTACAGCAGTCTTTGTGAATTCCTAGCTGGGACGATTGGCACTTCTATCGTGGTATTGTGTGCTCCATCCTTCGTCTCTCGTCGTCATATCTGTCGTCTCTCCTTTTCGCCATCTCAAGTCTGCCGTATCCCCCATCCATCCTTTCTCTTCAGTATGTCTCTGTCCCATCATTACATTTCAATCAACTCGAAGCCAGCCTGGACCCAGGTGGCATCATCGACGGCCAAGGGATCCTGACCAGGACCACCAGCGACGACGAGCTGACGAACCCATTCGCTGGCGAGCTCGACGCTGTCGGCATCGTTGTGGATAGCCATGGTTCCTCCGTACCAAACATGGACCAACCGTCCACCCACAGTGTGGACGGCGTTCTGCACCTTCTCCTGGATGGTCTGTCGGAAGCGAAAGATGGCCATCTGGTTGGCCTTGACGAGCTGGTCGTTCTTGATGTGGATGTAACGGCGAATGGGGTCGAAGAGCACGAGCTCGAAGTTATTGCCGCCGAGTTTGTGGATAGCAAGTCCGAAGCCTATGCGAGGACAAATACCAGACCAGAGCTGTTGCTGAGTCTGACCAGCGGAGCCTCCAGGAAGCGATTCGATGGAGGGAACGGAGCCCCAGGGGGGGCCGAACCAAGGGGTCAGCAGGGCGACAGAGATAGACTTGCCGGATGCGAAGTCGTCCATAGCTCTCTTCACATAGGCGTCGACGGTGAAGCAGTACATGGACTCGTCACCGGTAGCCTTAGCCCAAAGACGACGGTCATTGAAGTCTTGGAATTGAGCGACGGGGTTGAGAGCAAGCCGCCAGACGCTAGTGGGCTGAAAGTTTCTGAGCGCAAGAGCACAGAGGAAGCCTCTGACTTCGAGGGGGAGGGTGTACTTGGTAGGGAGGGGAGGCAACTGGCCGGGAGTCTGGGTGGTTCTGCCGTAGAGAAGACAGCGCAAGTCCTTGGACGAGATAACTCCAATGTCCTGAGGCAGAAAGTGGGCGGGAGGCCAAACAGAGGCATTGGCATTGGCACCGGTGATGCTGGTACCTTGAAGCTGAGCCGTGAGAGCACCAAGATCGTTGGGGCGGGTCGCGAGCGAGATGGTCTGTGGAGCGGGAATACCAGCAAAGGTATCCTGGATTTGAATCCAGACGTCAACGGCGTGGTTGAGGTCGGTGTCTTTAGGCATGCCTGTGTATCGGCGGCGGGCAGCAGTGTAAGTCCGCTCAAGAACTCGGATGAGATCGCCGTTCAAGTCGCCCTTGGTAGTGATCTTCGAGGCAATTGTAGAGTAGAAGGCCTCGTGGCCGCGAAGGGCGCCGTAGAGATCAACATGGTCGAAGAGGCAATGGAATATCTGAAGCAGGGCGGTGTACATCTCCTGGCGTAAGTCGTCGAATTGGTCTTCTTTGGCAGTCTGCCAGTCGCCGGGGACAATAGCGTCCATGATCTGACGGGCGGCATCGCGATCGGGAATGATGGCACCAGAAGGGAAGTAGAAGCCCTTCTGAGCACCCAGGACTCTCTTGGCGACACTGTGCTTCGCCATCTTTTGAACTTCGTATGGGTCTCGTAGCGCGGTGGTCTTCTCGAAGGGTGGTGGTCTTCTCGAGGGATGGTGGATGTCGGGTTGGAGTTGCGATGGAAAAAGATCGTAAGTAATCAGGTTTCGCCTCAGATCGGTAGATATTTGTTGTCAAAGAGAAGGCATTTGTAGATTGGCCAGGTGAGAAAGGTGAGGTGAGAGTGGAGTGGCAGTGAGTTAGAGGCAGGTGAGCCACCCAGTGAGTTGAGCCCCAGAAGAGAAAGAACGGCTGTCCTGCAGTTGCCGTGTGAGAAGTTTTGACCTTCACCGAAGTGAATGAGCGGATAAACCTGGCATGAAAACAAGCAAGGTACGATTAAAATCTTTACTTACGGCACAGATACCGCATCATCTTCACCTTCTCGCAGACTTGATCACCAGGCAGTTTGTTCATTTTGCAAAGGTCACCAGCTAAATGAAATGTCCTAGACGAGAAGTAATAGAACACTTGAGATTAAATCATTTAGGACTTTGAACTTCGAAGTCCCGATTATCAACACTTTGTACGTAGGTAGTAGCTACAGACGATCTACCAAGCCTTAGTAGATCGTTGAAGATGTTCACACGACCTTCTTCCCTTCCGGAGATCATAGTCCGCGGGCTGAGGTAGTGATCAACGTTATTGGACGAATAGATAGTGAGATCAAAAATGGGAAAAAAACAAAAAAGAATGGCCGATATGGGGATCGAAGGATAGGGACGCTGACTCACCGCGGAACGTCGACGCCAGCTAGTCATCGTACAACCACCCCTCGACCACCCAGCCGAATTGTTAGAAAGGAGGGGAGCTGAGCTTCCTATACAGGCAGCCTGGCCTGGAGGACATGCAGCCCCGGAGAACCTTTCGCCGTACGCGCGGCGAGCTCACTCTAGGCAACTTTGCTAGCATTGCCCAACCCAAGTCTTACACGCCAAGGTCTGGCCCTACCCAGCTATTCACCTGGAGCTTCAACTACCTAAACGCTCTGATCTATCGTGAGCTGCAGGTGAGCCGACGTCTCACTTTTAGAAAAGCCCTGAACGATCTATAACGGCAATAGAACAGCAACAGATGGCGGCCTTTCTACGTGAGGCTGGCAACTAACGTATTGATACATAGGCTGAAATTTCCTGCATATCAGGCGATGCTGCTTGTATAGACTTCATGACTCAAAGTTCATTCCCCATGCCGAAGCTAGGGGGCAGAGAAAGTTGCGTGCAACTTCACAGTGTTCACTTTTCATCTTGTGTCGACAAAGGAACGGAGCCTTCGTTGGCCAGATGACACCGGGTCGCAAGGGCGGGCCGGGTCGTTTCCTAACCTCAGGTACTTACAGCCGAGAAGCCTCTTGGTTATTCCTAATGTTATCTAATGACTGCCTTTGGATACGATGAGCAGAAGAAACGGAGTCGGCCCAGTTGTCTGGGCGAATGACCTCACTTATTATGGCCAAGCATGAGTCCTGGCTCAAAGGAATGGAAGAACCCCGACGTGACTTCCCCTTAAAATGAACGCTTACCTGAACATAATGTCACAGAGGAAGTATTTTCGCTGCGCTTTAGACCTGGCAGGCAATCACCTAGCTGCTCCTTCCAAGATAGTCCACTTGCAAGTCAAAAATCACTAACACCTCACGCTGGTATGCGACGCCTCACTTAAGTTAGACCATAACACGTTATAAGCTTCTCTCCAATAGGAGCAGGGAGTGAGAGGGAGAATAGGGCGGATGGCTCTCCCGCAGTTTACGTTATGTCTACATCAAGCTTCACCGGGATCCAAAAGCAATGCTTTACGTTATGAAGGAAGCTAGAGAGGAACATATTCAACATTTACAAAAGATTAAACTGCTGACAATTTCAAGGTGGCTGCTGGGATCAGAGACTTGAACAAGGTCCAGCGAATAACAGCAGACGGAGGAAAAATAAAACCATCTGACTTTTGAGATCAGAAAAAAAAGAAAAAAAGCGAGGTCCAACAGTGGCGCTATCGAGGATCGAACGATGCGTACGCTGACTCACCACAGAACGTCAATGCCAGCTAGTCATCGCACAACCACCCCTCGACCATCTGGCCGGTGCTTGTTGGTGACAGATTCAGAGGCAAATGTTGCTCATAAGGGTACCGCAGCTTCACCTTCTGTGGTGGGGCCTAAGGCAGCAACCATCTTTGACAATAGTTGCCTGCTTGGCAGCCTTATCGTCGCAATCTTGCCCGCTGATGAGGCTCCAGTAGCGCTTAGCAACCATCGTCAGGGAGGGAGCTTTGCGGCGCCCACTCATTCGCATGCGACAAGACGCAAGATTGCCTAACCATGGCTCGTGAGGCCGCAGCTCTCAGTGCCCACCGAGCGAAGGTATCTTGTCGGATGGGTGACCGTGCCTCTCACATCATTTTCGCCGCGTTGTAAGCACCTTCAGACACGCGTGAGCATCTGATAACTTCGACGATTGGTAAACTTACTGGTCTTTTCCACGCATAACAACCAGGCTCACAACTACACGTCCTCGGCTTCGAGGCGTACTTACCAATGCAGAAACTAAAGGGGTGGAAACTTACGGAAAACAAGTAGTATAAAACATGATAATCTACAACAATATTGATCCAGAACAGTTCAGTGCTAGAACAATACCCTGTGACGAACAAAGCGCCAGGCTTTCAGTCACCCGCAATGTGCCAAACTGAGACTCGACCGTTCCTCAACACGGTCTTTGGCAGAAGCGAGGCTACGTTTGCTGCCTGAAGATGAGATGCTGTGTGATCAAGGGATGAATGGTCGTTGGAAGTTGGAGCGAAGACGGATGTCTCCATGCCAAGGCATCCACTCAGAGTGGGCCGTCTGCAGCGCCGCAGGAGCTCCTCGGCAGATTGTCGGGTAAAATGTCCGTCCGGGAAAGAGGGGCCCGAGGAAGGCCTGGGCTACCTTAGACTGACGGGAAGTGCGCTCTTGCTCTGGTTGCATCATGCTGCTGAGCAAACTCCAAAGTCAAAATCAGCCGCCTCGCTGATGCATGCACGCAGCTCAATTCGACATAGCAATCAAGCAAACATGCATTACATACACGAAAATCCGATGTTGCCAAACTCTGCCGATGATCATGGCCGCCTTCACTGCATCCCTTGCACCCCTGCTCTGTGGTGACCTACCTGACGGATACCTACGGGCTAGGGAGAGCCCTGAGGGGAACGGCGCTTGCGATTGATGGATTGCCTTCTCTACCCGCAGATCCCTCATGCTGGAAGCCAGCCCAGCAGCACAAAGACACTTTGAGCATGGAGCGGAAGCCGACAGAAACGTTCGCAGCCACGCCGCAACCACACGTGGACGCTTCTATCCCGTCTAGCGCGGGTGTTGAAGTTGAGGACGGGAGCCAAAAGACGCGAGTGTCGCACGGAATTTCCCCCCATCTCGGCACCGCGGACCCAAATGAAGCAGTCATAACTCCGGCACAATTTACTCGCTGCAGGCACGGTGCACAAGACAATCAAGACCGCAAGCCACGATTCGGCAGCAGTAGCCGCCGTCAACATGTCAGTCCGTTAGTCCGCCGCCGTGTTGACTGGAGAGGAAATCGTCCCCGGATGACTGACTGGGAATACGGGAGCCGGCAGGTTCAGCTGAGCCGGTATATCGGATGCTCTATCATCAAAGGACATTGATCTGGATCACAACAATGACCGGTGGCATCGACTGTGTACATCGCCATTCTGACAAATTTCTCTCCACGCACATCACTCTCGGTCGCTCGCCCACGCATTCTCGCATCTCGTTTGTGTACGAGGCCGGCAGGCACACAACAACAGACAGTCAGCTAAACAGGGAAAATACAGCGCCGCCTGAAGAAAGAGGCTCGCAAACTTCTCCCCCCTGTCCCCTGCATATCCAAGTCTAACGGACGAAGCGGACTTGTCTCTACAAGGCAGCCTCCCGTTCGGCGGCGTCCCAATGGCAGGCTTCGAAAACAAACTAGAGCTGGCACTTGGCTGTTAGTTCTGGAATTCATCATTCCGGAGACGGCCTCCGGTCTCTCGAAAAGCACTGTTGGAGGGCGAGGAGGAATGTCACTGGCCTGATTTATGCGGCCCGAACAAGAGACTCTGACAAGCGCTCCCCACCTCGACTGACATCCACCCGCCGCTTCACGGGCCAGTGCCGCCAGGACAGAAAAGCACCTTGGATCGGCGGCAAGATGTCCAGAGTGCTCTCTCCCATTCTCTCTCTCGGAGTGGGCGGATCGACACAGGCTCAGACACTGGCGGGCGGTGCTAATGCAGGGCGCCTGGCCTTGGCGGCCTTAGCGAGCTGCTTGACGGGTACAGCATGCAATGGCCCCTGCTAAGCACTGCTTGGCTGCGGGTGTCGTGGACCCCAAAGACGCCCCGGCCCAGACCAAACCTCGTTTTTCCTTGGCTTGGGTTCTGCTGAGCTTCCTTTTTGGTCGATTCACATGGGCGGATAACTTCTCTCCAAACCCCCTCGAGCCGACGTCCACGCCTCCGATCCACCCTTTCCGACCGGGTGACAGCACGGTAGTGAGGGGACGAGCTGCACGTCTTAATGAATTGTGATAATCGCCGATATTCACACGGTGATATCATGACGAGAAGTTGGCTGAAACGCACCACCAGCTCCCAACCGGCCAAATGACCTTGAATTCCCCGGACCCTCGGACGCCGTGTTCAAGATTCCTGTTTTCGGCTCCAGGATGCCGCACGAGAGTCTTCTCGGACGAGGTCGCACGCTCCATGAGATGAAGGGATCTGAACCCACGCTGTACTGCTCTGGCTGGTATGGAAGAAAGACAAAGTGTGACGGCGCACCATCTATGAGCTGACAACATGGTCTTCTCCGTCCGAAGTACCCGAATTTTAACATCTGCCAGATGGGGCAGCACCGAGGTTTGTCCCGACAACGGATATCCCAGGAAGATCTCTTGCCCCTTTCACATTTAGAACTCGCAGTGACAGCAACGCCGTTCTGCACCAAGGGATACCAAAAAGCAACGGAAAAAAACTGTCTTGGTCGTGCAGAAAGTCCGGGCCTCTATCGACCACCAGCTAGAGAGACCACAGCTCTAGGGATGAGATCAAGACATGGAAATCTCCTCCAAGCTCTCGCCAGCCAATCTCAACCCGAGGAATGCTGGCCCCTTTTCCTTTTCCACGTTAGGGACGATGTTTCCTACTCCAACGTTCCTATGGGCATCGAATTCTCCTCAGCCAAAGGGACGAATCCTAATGTCCCGTTTGCCCATCGATCGCAGATCCGCACCATTCGTCCACGTCGTCCACCAATACCGTCCTCCACGTCGACTTGGACATCCACAGCCAGCAAAGCCGGCCAACCCCTCTCGGTAATCGATCGAAGCACAACCCTAGCTCACCCCCTCTTCCGGCCCCTCACCAGCCCACAGCCAACGCTACGGCACGGCAAGTCAAGACAGCCTAAGGACTGGCCAAGTCCAGGAACCGCCTTCAGTGCCGGCCACCCGCAGTGTCCGTTTCCCCGCCGCGCACCCACTACCATAGCACGCCGCACCACCACCACTACCACCAACCACACCAGAAGACGACTGACCGCCGCTGATGCATACCCAAACAAGACTTTTTCTCTCGGCCTGCCTCCGCAGCCCAAGCATCTCACTAAACAAGCCCGACTGGATTCAAGTTCAACATTCCACTTGATTCGCTTCGGCCGTGGTACCTGATCAGCAGTAGCCACACCACACCGCATTCAAGACACACATCAGGGCCTTCCAGCTCTGGGCTGGTTCTTGCAGCAGCGTAGCGGTTCGCTGCACAAGCCTCTTGTCTCAACACAAGACAGGCCGGTGGTCGCATCCAATCCAGCACTCTATCCTCGGTTTCTCAATCATCAATCGCTCTACGCTGCGACGTCTGACAGGCCAAGAGCTCTCGGCGTCTTTTTGGGGCAAATCAACATATTTGGTAAACCCGAGCACAGAATAGAGTGTTTTTCCAAAATAGCCGGCAAGCAACCCCTTCGCCTCAAGCCCCCGGTTCGTCCGAATCGCTAGCAGACGGTGTCCTCACCCCTCGCCAATGACTCGACGGGGGAAACCTGTGCTCTACCTCTGACATCACAAGGCCCGGTGAAGAGTCCAGTGACTTTGACTTTGGGCCTCACAGCTGCCCTGCTGTGCCGCACTTGGATGATCCTAGTCGAGGGGTGTCCCCAGCCCAGCCCTGTTGCTGGAGGCGACCTCCCAACCACCCGAACCCTGGTCTTGCGCACAACAACCATCACTCATCCACCCACCACAACATCATACCAGCCAGCTAGATGGATAAACATGCGGGCAAAGTGGCTGTGGAGTTGACACAAGTGTGGCATAGCGAGCTGCAAGTACATGCAGTCTCGCTTTGTTGAAGGTACCGTTTGCATGCAGTCTGCATGCCTCTGTACAAGGCCAGGACCATGGGGGAAAGACACAACTCCGGCCCATACATACAAACAGGACGGCTACTTACACCACATAACAACACTACTGCAATCCTAAGCACATTTGCTCCATCATATCCACATTCTAGACGTCAAAGACGCGCAATATCATGACTGAAGCTTATCTGCTACCCTAATCGCTGTCCTTACTCACGCGGCTCCCTCGTTCTGTATATGAACCCCCAGCCCTCCCTCCATCATCTCTCCCTCTGCTCTCTAGGATTCACCTCTTCCATCCCTGGCAACACTCTCGCTCATAGGTCTACCCTAAATCAACCTGCCTGCCACGTTTCGTTCAGTGTTCTTACTTACCACTTTTACCTTCCACCGACCCTTCGACACTCATTATCCACAACATCGCGTGGCAACAGTTGAACACGACCTCCATCCGAGCTTGAAGTACCGACGGAAGAACAAGGCCATACCCGATCTCACACTCCCGTCATCCCACACGGCAGCTGCACAGAGGAAACCACACTCAAGGAAGCACCCGCCTCTTTTGTGCTTTGTGAACGAAGTCATTGTTGGACCAAGCGGGTCAGAAACTTGCGGGGACACCATTCACCACCTCATCTCTGGAAAAAAATATCTTGGCTGTGGAAGATTTTCTCTGGCTACAACAACAACAACTTGCTCCTCAACCAAGCAATTTCGACCTTGTTGTGACCTCGACAGATCAGCATACTCTTACAAAAACCACACACCGCCTACTCGCTATCACAACCTCAGGTATGTCAATATCACTTCTTTGGCTCCATCGTCTTCATCGTGGGATGGTCGTCGGCGCCTCCCTCGCTGTCACTTCCACTTTCTATCGCCACGTCTGCGCGATCCGCCTTCCGAATTTCACCAAAGTCAGGTGCCTCTCATGATCACCAGCGAGAGACGCCGGGATTCTTTGAGATCCCGGGTGCCCGATTCTCTGCCGCTCATGACGATTCGACCTGGTCTTTTCTGAATTTTCACATTTCCTGGCCTACAAAAAGTCACGATTCGCTTTTTCTTTTTTGGGATCTTTTTCTAACAAGCAAATTTTCAGACAAGATGAAGTACTCTGCTTCCGTTCTCGCTACCCTGGCCAGCGCCGTCATGGCCATGCCCCAGGCCGGCAGCGCCGCCCTTGCTCCCAAGGAGGCTGCTCCTGCTGGCTGCCAGACCTCGTACTCTGGCAACTTCGGCATCACCATCGTCGGTCTCGGCAAGCGCAGCCTCGAGGTAAGATCATCCGTTGCCAATTATGAGAGCTCCTGCTAATAAATCATCAGACTCGCAGCAACTGTGGCCAGAAGGGCGCTCTTGACCTGACCCTGAAGGACAGCGTTCTCACCGACTCCCAGGGCCGCATTGGCTCCATCGTCGCCAACTACCAGTTCCAGTTCGACGGCCCTCCCCAGTCCGGTGTGATCTACACCTCTGGCTTCTCCGTCTGTGGCAACGGCTCCCTCGCCCTTGGTGGCTCGACTACCTTCTACCAGTGCAAGTCTGGAGACTTCTCCAACCTGTACGACAGAAGCTGGGCTCCTCAGTGCTCTCCCATCCACCTGAGCGTCCTCCCCTGCGGCTCCGACGCTCCCGTTCCCTCCGGCAACGTCGTTGGAACCACCATGGTCGCTACCACTGTCGTTACCGTCATCGGTGACGGTCAGCCCCAGGTCGTCCCCACCACCGTCCCCGTCCCCATCTGCCAGATTGGCGATGGCCAGATCCAGGGCCACACGACCCCCTGTGGCGAGCTTCCTCCCGTCACCGTCACTCCCGCTCCTCCCGCCCCGTCTGCGCCGGCTCCTTCTGCCCCCGCTGCCCCTCCCCCGGGCACTCCTGTCGCTCCTCCCGCCGCGCCTCCCGTCACCACCCCGGCCGCTCCCCCCGTCCAGCCGTCTCAGCCTGCCGCTTCGCAGCCCCCTGTCGCACCTCCCGCCGTCAACACTACCACTCCTGTCCAGCCCCCGGCTACCACTGCCCCCACCACGCCCTCGAGCACGACTCCTGCCGCTCCTCCTGTCGCCGCGGGCCAGCACATTGTTCCGGCTCCCTTCGTTGCCTTGGTCGCTGGTCTGATGGCCGTCGTGTACATGATCTAATGACAAGCGCCATGTGCCTTTTGGCTTTCGGGGGGAAAGACCTCATTGGGTCTCGGAGGAGATAATGTTTCGCTTACGATTCTTCACTTGGCCTGTTTTGGGCATTTTTAATGGAATGAATACCATAACGAGATACACGGCTTGTCTTTGGGGATTGGGCTGGACAGGTTTGCAGGCTTGCAAACGGATTAGGGACAAATATGATTCCCCGGGTAGTAATCCCAATAGATCAAAACGAGCAGTCTTTAACTGCAAAAACTTTCATTGCCTTTTGATGTGAACATGATTCTGATGTATGACAAGCGAGTTGAAAACAGAGCAGCTGGAGCTCCAGTCCAGCACAGGCGGCAGTGGGCAGCTTGCAGGGATCATCCATTGCATGAGTGCACAGACCAACTAACCGTGCACCTCGAAATTCTAGCACGCGCCTTTTCCCAGTGACGTCTTTTGCCCATTTCTTCCACTTCCACTTCACCCCAAACCAACCACCCCCAACCCTCCAAAAATGTCCGAATACTGGAAATCAACGCCGAAATACTGGTGCAAGCACTGCGGCATCTTCGTCCGCGACACCAAGCTCGAGCGCCAGAACCACGAAGCCACCGGCAAGCACCAGGGCGCGCTCAAGCGCTTCCTACGAGACCTCCACCGCGGCCATGAGCAAGAGGAGCGCGACAAGGACCGCGCGCGGCGCGAGATTGAGCGCCTGAAGGGCGTCGCATCGGGATCTTCATCATCATCTACTTCGTTTGCGAAGCCAGGCTCGAGCAGCAGCGCGACGGCACCCGCGCCCGGCGGGACGGAGGCGGCGAGGAAGAGGCAGATGGAGCAGCTCGCGGAGATGGGCGTGTCGATACCTACCGAGTTCCGAGGCGATATGGCGATGGCGGGCGAGTGGACCGTCACTGCGACAAAGGTCGTCGACGAGGATGCGGCCAAGGAGAAGCCCGTGGAGGCGAAGGCCGTCGGCGTCCGGAAGCGCGAGCAGACGGAGGAGGAGAAGGAAGAGGAAGACGCCGTGCGGGGGCTGTTCAAGAAGCCTAGGAAATGGGGCGGTATGAGGGCGATGCCGGAGGACGACAAGGAGCTCGACGCGCTGCTCAGCGCCGACACGCTGTTCCGGCCCAAGAAGGAGGAGTCTGCTGCGGAGGAGGACAGTGTCAAGAAGGAGGAGGGCGCAGACGAGGCTGCGGCGGCGGTGACATCAGATATGCCCGCTATCAAGGCTGAAGAGGACGAGGCTGGCGACAAGCTTTCGGCAGCGGCGTTGGGGCCAATCGCCGATGCCGACGGGGTGAAGAAGGAGGAGGACGGCGTGGAATCCACGGAAGCCGCGGCTCCGGCTGTGGTGTTCAAGAAGCGCAAGGCCAAGAACATTCGGCAAAAGTGATTTGCTGTGGGGAATATCTGGGGTTCAGTCAGGGGTGACACAATTTGCATAGCGAAGGCGTTCTGGGGGGCTGCTCCCAAAGAGACAGACAGCACCGTTTTTTCTCTCCATCTCATAGACACCGCTCGGACATACGACCTGTCATCCTTTCTTCTTTTTGGATGATGCCACCACAGAAAGCCTCGGTTCATCTTGACATGCGCAGGTTGCAATTGCGCCCTCTGCAGTTTCATCGGCGCTGTCGATCAGCGAATCCTCCTCACTCGGGCGGCAATATCACGAACCCGTGCCAATGACAGCCCAGCCTACCTAGGCAGTCAGTCTGCTTCGAAAACGCAGCACCTGAACACAGTACGAACGTCTCGCTCTTAACACTGGATATTCACACCAGCAGGGGCCTGAGAAATTAGCGGGGTGAAAGTCTAGCAGCAGCACGTGACCGCCACTCAACAGCAGACGGGACCGTATTCGTAGACGGGGCCTAATTACCTGGTCGCTCCATGTCAATGGAACGACACACCGTTGAACATCCTTTTCCTTGGCCCGGCTGGGGGTGACTCCAATCAACCCGCAGAAACCCAAAAAAGGCAAATTTCATCCTCACCTTCACACACACATCTCAACTCACCGGCCCCGTCTTCCAATGTCCGCCTCATCTTGACTACGCCACAAACCAGAAGACCAAAACTCTCAACAATGAGGCGTCCCGATGCAAAAGACGATGGTGTCCCCCCCAGCAGCTAGTCCGTCCTCAATATCCCCGGCCAGCAGCTCCCACCTCGGCAAGCGCACCGAACTGAGCAGCGAGGACGCGGCCGACAATAACAACAACAATGACGGAGGCAAGCCGACCTCCCGCCCCAAACGCGCCCAGGTCTCCCGCGCCTGCGCCCGCTGCAAGAACCTCCGCCGCGCCTGCAACGAGTACCGCCCCTGCAAGCGCTGCGTCGACGCCGGGCTCGGCGACCAGTGCCTCGGCCTGCCCGGTCCCGTCTCGCTGGCCTGGGTCTCGGACGGCAGCCAGGCTTTTGGCCATGTCCCGCACGAGGCCGTCCAGCGCATGGCCGAGCTGCTGCCGGCGCGCGTCATGGACTACTGCGTCGACCGCTTCTTCGCGCGCATGCACCCGACGATCCCGATCCTGACGCCCGAGTACGTGGCGCACCTCAAGGTCGTCGCCGGACCCAGCGGCGAGCCCGGCATGGAGGCCCACTGCCTGCTGACGGCCGTGTGCGCGCTGGTCCTGCTGCAGGTCGAGGAGCCGGAGAGCCTCTTCGTGCGCGGGCTGATCCCGGAGAAGAACGCGCTGCACGGCCGCATGCTCTTCGAGGAGGCGCTCGCCGCGCACCGCAACTTTGCGCGCCGGAGCAACCCGAGCTTCGAGCAGTGCCTGCTGACCTTTTTCCTGTACGCGTGCCACTCGGCGCTGTTCCACCACAGCCAGGCGTTTCTGTTCCTGCGCGAGGCGACGACGCTGTTCCTGCTGCTGCGGATGAACACGGAGTCGGCGCCCCGCGCGCTGGCGGACCGGCTGTTCTGGGTGCTGCTGGTCTCGGAGCGGTCGCACGGGATCCGGTACCGGCGGCCCGTGACGCTGCAGATCACGGCGGAGAGCCCGGCCATGGACGAGGGGGACCCCCACCTGCTGTCCGGGTTCTGGAGCCTGGCGGGGCTGTTCGCGCCGCTGGACACGAGCTTCATCGCGCTGCTGAACCAGGAGAAGGTGGCGACGCCGCCGTCGAACGCGGCGCTGACGCTGATCGAGACGGCGGTGAACTCGGCGCTGCGCGCGAGCAGCGAGCTCAAGGACACGCAGAAGGCGAATCTGAGGGTCACGCAGCTGTGGCTGCGCATCATCCTCTGGCAGCTGCGGTTGCGGTTCGGGTACCTGCAGGTGGCGGAGGAGGCGGCGCAGACGAGCATGACGTACCACTACCCGCTGGAGGTGGCCAAGGACCTGGTGCTCTCGACGCGGGACCTGCCGGTGGACAGCATCAAGGTGCACGGGGTGGGACTGACGGAGAAGCTGTTTGACATTGCGAGCGCGGCGGTGGATGTGTTGGCGAGGGTGCCGATCACGCCGAGCAGCCCGCATAGGAATGGCGCTGGGCCAGAGGATGATTTGAATTATATGCGGCGGCTGATTACGAGGCTGCCTGGGGGGAACTCTATATATGACGAGCTTTTGGATAAGCATATCCAGCAGGCGGTGCCGAGTATGGTGCTCGGAGGGGGGACGCCGGGGCAGTCGGGGCATCCAACGTGAGATGTGTATATCACAGGAAAGGGGGAAAGGGATGGGGATGTTCATTAGGCATGATTACGCTAGGGATGCTATCTAGTGGTACAAAATATCCAGGGTATTTAACAAGTTATTTTTCGAACCAGTTTTCATTTTACATCAGAAAAAGATATTCAGTGCTCATCGACGAGCTTCTTTTCACTGCTGAGCTCCCGCGAGTATGGGTCGATCTTTGTGCTTGCAAACTTCCTCGCCGAGACGCCGTGCTCGAAGAGCAGGTCCAGCTCGGCGTACGTGCGGCCCTTGGGCTCGGGGACGCGGAAGTAGACCCAGACGGAGGACAGCAGGCAGGTGCCGGCCCAGAAGAAGGCGGTGCGGGCGCCCCAGTCCCACGCGGTGGACGAGAGCTGGTAGTTGGTCATGACATTCACGAAGATGTTGCTGGCGTTGTAGCCCGCGCGGGCCATGACGATGGTCTTGGCCTTGAGGCGGGTGGAGGACAGCTCGGAGATGAGGGAGTAGGTGACGGGCCCGACGGTGAAGTCGTAGACGAAGGTGAAGATGATGAGCATGGCGGCGATGGCCCAGACGGCGGCGTTGGCGTTCGAGAAGGAGAGGCAGCCGACGATGAGGAGGAGGGTGAACTGGGCGCAGAGGCCGGAGAAGTGGATGGTGCGGCGGCCGAGCTTGTGCATGAGGTACCAGGAGCCGGCGGTGCCGACCATGCCGAGGGCGTACTGGCCCATGGAGAGGGAGAAGGAGTTGTTGGCGTCCATGCCGGCCTGGACGAGGAAGTAGGAGAAGTAGCCCATGAGGTTCTGGCCGCCGAGGGTCTGGACGAGCCAGATGCCGATGACGATCTCGGTGCGGCGCAGGTCGGTGCCGCGGAAGCAGTCGGCGTAGGTGACGCCCTCCTTGACGCGCTTCTCCATCTCGTTGGTGTGCTCGATCATGGCGATGGTCTCGTCCGGGTTGAAGTTGGGCTGGTTGCGGGAGGTGAGGCGGAGGAGGGAGGCTCTGGCGGCGGGCTTATTGTTGTGGCGGACGTACCACCAAGGGGATCTGGGGAAGTGTGTTAGTGGGGGGGTTTGCCGGTGGGATGTAAGTGAATCCCCGGTCAGAGGATGAGAGACTCACTCAGGGGCGAAGCAGACGCCGATGAGGATCGGAACGGGCCAGACCCATTGGACTGCGAAGGGGATGCGGTACGCCCATTCGTTGGCGTGTTGGAAGGAGCCCTTGTTGACTGCAGCAGCAAAGAATTGACCAATGACCTGCGCTTGTTAGCTGCGTACGTCTGAGAGTGGAAGGAGGTAACTCACCCAGCACATGTTGATGAAGGTCGTGAGGTAGGGTCTCAAGACGACGGGAGCGACTTCGGATGCGTATGCAGGCGTGACGCTCTGGAAGGCGCCCCACGGGATTCCTAGCCGTCGTCAGAAAACGAGGATTTGCACAAGACCAGTCTCAAAACTCACCACAAAGGACCTCTCCCAGCACCAAGATCTTCACGTTCGGCGCAAAGAACAGCACGAAAATGAAGGCAATCATCAACACCAGGAACCCGATGGTGGTCATCTTGTACCCGTACCGATCGGCGGTCCAGCCGGCGAGGATGAGGCCGATGATTTCTCCACCGCGGGCACCGTTGGACAGGCCGGACTGCCATGCGGCGGAGAGAACATACTTGCCCTGGGCCTCGCTGTACGCGCCGTACTTTTGGTTGAAGTACTGCGAGGAGTAGAGGTTGGAGAGCAGGGCGAGGTCGTATCCTTCCATGATGAGAGTCGACGAGAGGAGAACGGACCAGGCGATGGCCTTGGGGTAGGTCTTGATGGCCTCCAGAAGGGTCATTTGGTGCTCCGAGTCGGCGGCCTGCTTTGCCTCGGCGGCGAGGTCTTCGGGATGGGCGGCATTCGGAGAAGCAGCGTCGGCGTGTTGGTGGACGCCCAGTTCCTTGTCCACCGCCGAGGAGGCTGGCTTTGAGTCGGACATTTTGGCAAGGTTCAAACTGGCCTCTGAGATTGGCGGAAACGTTGGGTGTAAATGGAGGATGGATGAGACCGCGAGGCGAGAGGAGAACGGATTGCACGGGAAGGAGTCGCCTGGGGGACGAATTCAATCGAACAGGGAGGGCATTCGCGCCTTTATTTATCCTCGCCGAAGGACACCATGAATGCAGGAGCTGAGGAGAAAGCGACAGCCAGAAGGAGGTGGTAGTCAAAGTAACATGGGGATCGAAGAAAAATTGGACAAGCACAAAAAACGCTAATTAGTAGAGAGTAACGAAAATGCCCAGGAATCTGCACCGTGCACTTCCAATGGGGGATGGGAAGGGATGCCCGATGAGTCGACCGCGGGCTGCCGGCTCGTACAAGATTGGATTGGCGTGATACTGAAGTCCCAGGTTTTGACGACCGTCTGTAGACTGTCGGTGCCAGTGTTCAGGAGTGCATTGTGTGTGTACGGGTAGGTATTGTGTGTCTCTGTGTGCAGCGTGTGTTGATCTGGACATGGGTGCCGTCGTGGAATCGCCTGAGGAGAGCAAGAGCCGAAGCGGATGTGCATATGCATGGCCGGGGGCCCGTTGCTGGGCACGTCGACGGTCGAATGAATTGGCTTTTCCCAACTCCATGGGGGGAGACTGGCTGCGTGGAACGCGTGTGGAATCGGCCGCCGGACGACAAAAAAAGCACTGTGAGCAGGTAAGTCGAAAGGGAATATTGTGGAGAAGCGGAGGATGAGGGGGATCGGGGTTGGTCGATGGGCCGAGTCTCTGTGGGGTGGTCGGCAGCACACGAGATTGGGTGGTTGAAGGCGACAATGCTCTCGACATCCGCTTCTGATCAAGACCAACATCAACAGCTTCACTCGAATAGGGATATGAGCCAGCCACCGGGTTCTAGGTCTGGTGATCGTGCCCATGAATCACGCCAAGCTGCGCCCGGTTCCCATTCTGGAGACGGGATGCAGCAGCACACGAGGGCGCAACAGGAGACTCCGCAAGTGACAGCTGCGGCCGTGTAAGCCCACGACGCTATTCGCATCTGACGAGGTTGAAACTAAATTGGCCCCCGGCAGACGGGGACCACCATCTGAGCGGCTGAAATCCCTTAGGCTCCCGGGGTACGTCTCCGAGTTTTCGCAAAAGTTTCCCCAGATTCGGGTCGTCAGCTACACAAACCATTTCCAGACCATCCACCTTTTTTCTCCAGACCCGGCCCCGAATCCGCCCATCACCGGTCTGGCCCCACTGAGGGATCCGCAGCACCTGATTGGCGGGAAGCCCTGACGTGGGTGGCTCCCGGCAGGACAGGAGGCGCGGAGGGCGGTGCGGAGTCTAGCGGAGGTGCTCCGAACCCCAAATTCTCCCACTTTCAACCCCGACAGGGATGGCGGAGTCTCCGCATCCTCTTTTCTTCAGGAAAACGTTCCCCCAACGTGCTTTTGCGACCCGTTCACGCGTTCCAGCATCATCCGATGCCCGTCATCAGCGGGAAGGCGGAGTTTAATTGAGGCGATCCAAAGCTTCGGAAAAGAAACACGCTCATGCGCGCCGTGTGACACCCGCCTCAAACCTCCTCTCCCGCCCTCCGCTTTCTTCAACAGCACCGCTGCCCACCGGCAACCACACCTCGGGAGGGTCTGAAGGGGGCAGGCAACCCATGGTCCATGGGGTAGCAGGGCGGGGAAAACCGCTGCCAGTTGTGATCGGAGTCTCCACCGAGATTGGATCAAACTTATCAACCGACTCGACGATGCACCGCACCGCGTCTCTCTCTCTCCCCTTCGCGGCCCTTTTGCGGAGTGATTCCCACGAGGGGTAACCTGCTTCATGCACCGCAGCTACTGACCACAGGAGCCCGCGCGCAGACGATTCAACCTCCCCACGCTTTTCTTACTCTTCTGGCTCCTCGTTTCCCACTTTCGGATGCATGGGCCGTCATGTTGCCACACCATTTGTCTGCCACTGCCGCTGATCGCGGTCGTCCACTTCCGACGACGCCTAGTCTTTCCGCGCCTGGTCAAAATGCCATTCTCTCCCGCCGCCGCGTCTGATCTTTGACTCTGGGTCTCTCTCCCACATTCTTCCGCCACTTCTCTCTTTCTCTCCTCACCTCTCGCCTCTTTGCTTTCCGCCACATGGTCGTGTGGCTCAACACAGAGTAACACACACGCACCATGGGATCTCTCGTCTGGGACGACGAGAACCGCTGGGTGGGCAAGCAGCCCTGGTGGAAGGACGCAACCTTCTACCAAGTCTACCCAGCCAGCTTCAAGGACTCGGACGGTGACGGCTGGGGCGACCTCCCCGGCCTCATCGCCGAAGTCGACTACCTCCACGACCTCGGCGTCGACGTCGTCTGGGTCTCGCCCATCTTCGAGAGCCCCCAGAAAGACATGGGCTACGACGTGTCCGACTACCAAAAGATCTACGCCCCCTACGGCACCGTCGAGGACGTCGACACCCTCCTCAGGGAATGCCACACCCGCGGCATGAAGGTCATCCTCGACCTCGTCGTCAACCACACCTCCGTCGAGCACGAGTGGTTCAAGCAGAGCCGCTCGTCGCGCGCCAACCCCAAGCGCGACTGGTACATCTGGAAGCCCGCCCGCTACGACGCCGACGGCGTCAGACACCCGCCGACCAACTGGCGCGGCTACTTCGCCGGCCCGACCTGGACCTGGGACGAGCAGTCGCAGGAGTACTACCTGCACCTGTACGCGCCCGACCAGCCCGACCTCAACTGGGACAACGCCGCGTGCCGCGAGGCGATATACGAGGACACGATGCGCTTCTGGCTCGAGCGCGGCGTCGACGGGTTCCGCATCGACACGGTTAACAAGTACTCCAAGCGCACCGACTACGTCGACGCCCCCGTAACAGACCCGACCTCGCCGCACCAGCCCGCGCCCGAGATGTGGTGCAACGGCCCGCGCATCCACGAGTTCATCCACGAGATGAACCGCAAGGTGCTTGCGCCGTATAATGCGGTGTCGGTCGGCGAGCTGTCGCTGACGCCGCACCCGTCGCAGGTGATCCCGTATGTCTCGGCCGCGGCGCAGGAGCTGGACATGGTATTTGAGTTTTCCGTCATCCGGCTCGGGAACGGGAACGGGTTCGGGGGGAAGTACCTCTTCCAGCCGTTCCCGCTGTCGACGTTGAAGAGTTACACGGCGACGTGGCAGTCGTTCATTGAAGGGACGGACGCGTGGGCTACCGCCTTCTGCGAGAACCACGACAATGGGCGGGCTGTCTCGAGGTTTGGTGATGACTCGACGCCCGAGCTGTGGAAGGCTTCGTGTAAGACGATTGCGATCTGGCAGGCGACCATGTCGGGCACATTGTTCCTTTACCAGGGCCAGGAGATTGGCATGACCAACATGCCGGCCAGCTGGGGCATCGAGGAGTACAAGGACATTGAGAGCGGTAACTTTTACTCCGAGGCCCTGGAATCGGGCGACCAGGAGCGGATCGCAAAGACCATGGATGGGCTGCGCATTCTGGCCAGAGACCATTCGCGTATACCTTTCCAATGGGATGATAGTCCCAACGCCGGGTTCACGAAAGAGGGAGCCAAGCCGTGGATGCGAGTGCACGATGACTACAAGGCGATCAACGCCGCCAAGCAGCGCGGGGACCCGGATTCCATTCTCGAGTTTTACAAGAAGGTCCTCAAGATGAGGAGACAGTACCGCGACATCTTTGTGTTCGGATCACATAAGCTGCTGGACCCTGAGAACGAAAAGACATGGATCATACTGAAGGAGAGTGCTGCGCCGGTGAAGGGCCGTGAGGGCGTCAAGCGCAGGGCTCTTGTAGTGATGAACTTCTCCAAGGACGAGGAGACCGCCGGAGATGTAGCGGCCATGCTCGGCTGTGACGCTGGTGAAGTCAAGCTGTTGGCTGGCACGAGAGAGGGAGGCGGGCTTATCAAGGGGGTCGCGCCTGCGTTGAAGGGATGGGAGGCGAGGGTTTATACCAATTTCGAGATTTAGAGCGATGTTCTGTCAAAGAACCAATAGACGATAATGTATTTGCGATCTTGTCCTCGGCCAACTGTCGCGTATTAAGGACCGAAGGATCACACACATCAGTGGATCAAACCTGCTTGAGGCTACCATTTCCCTAGACCGATGGGTCCGACGCAAGACCAATGCTTGTACGCCAACTTGTTATTCTCGACCTCGTCCACGATGGCTACGGCCATGTCCTTGTTATAAATGCCGCCGTAGATGGCTTGATAACCCGGGCTGTCAAGCTCGTCCACATACACTTCGTACTTCCCAGTACGGATCCCTGGTAAGTCGAGTCAGCGCAAAGCCTCGAATGTCAGAATGATTCTTCACTCACCTTTGTCTCTCAGCAACCACGGAGGCGATAGAAATGACCAAGACTTCTCAGTCACGCCTTCCCACAAGTGTAAAGCGACACGCGATCCAGTGATCAGGCCCTTGGCGTCATGAGACGTCATGAACTTACGTGCGCGCGAAAGAAACAAGCGCGCAAACGGGCGGAGAATCCAGGAGAACCCTGGCGTGCGTCAGCAAAGTTCGTACTACAATGACCGGGAAGCAGGCGCGGAGGTCTCACATCCAGGATGCTCTACATTGTTGCGCGCCCATCTGAAGATCCGGGAGAACACAGCTAGTGTTGTGCTGCCGTGGTCTGACGCCCTAGAAATCATGTATCCGAGATGCTGGTCTGACCATTTATACCTATAACTCGGTCAACGTCTCGCGCTGAGCGGGAATCCAGCTAAACAGAAACATACCAAGCACCATAAGGGAATTCGGGTTCATCTGCAAAAGACGAGCCATCCTTGTGGTGCAAAGAGCCGGCACCGCCTACAAATGTCCCACCCAAAGTCAGTACACTACTCATAGAAGTACGTCTTGCAGGGAAGCCTACCAATAACAATGAAAGAACCTCGATGATTCGATCGGAGTAGACCAGACTTGATTCTCGCATGCGTCTCTACACACTCGTAGTAGATCGCCCGCAAGTTCCCCAGGGGCGGTCCATACGCGCACACAATGGCGTCGTAACCGCGCGACAGGGCCGCCGAGAGATCGTTGATGGAGTTGAAGTCGACAGACTCCGCCTTGTAGTCGCCTGGTGTCTGCCACTCGCGAGGCGGGTTGCGTGAGAGGCCTCCAACGGAGTGACCGCGAGACAGGAGCTCGTCGACGACGCAGGAGCCGCATTGCCCCTTAGGACCAAGAACGGCAACTCTGAGCCTTTGGGTGGTAGACATGACGGGAAGGTCTTGGCAGGTCTAAGTGATTTAAGGTTGTGATAGAGTTCGGGGCTGCAACATATTCATATTGATGGCGATCATTTTTTATAACGGATTCTTCGAATCAACTTGGCCATCGCCCGAAGTGACGGGGCGGTGCCACCCGGTTCTTCGGGGCTTGCTGAACCCCGGATCTTTCCCAATCTGCTCGCTTTTAGCAGTATTCGGACATGGATACTAGGCTCGGGGAATTTTTATCGGAGGGTGCGGGAACAATTCCGATTGAATCTCTGGAAATCGTGCCCCTAGGACCTGCTCTGGATGCATGCATGCAGTGGTCATTACGCAGTACTTCATGAGGAAGTGTGACGGGGCACACATGTTACCTGAAAACTAAACAGATTTGATAGACGTCTCCCCGCACTCACACGAGTTTGCAGCCCATGACAGTTCGATGCAATTGTTTTACAAAACTTAACAACATATCGCGGCACATTTTTCGGCTCCTGTGTCTCTATGTTTCTTCTTTCTTTTGGCCGCGGCGTCTCGGCGCGCATTCTAAGGAAAACCCGAGCTGTGTTTCGCTGTCGGGCTCAACTGCCATTTTGAGGAACCCTTTTCCCGAGATGGACACTAGCCATTACGCGACCATCTTCACACGTCGAACAACCAACGTCATCCCGAGGCGTTCGCATCATTCGTGTCATTCACGATTTAAAAGAGGAACAAAGCGATGCAGTACTTAGCTGGTGGGAATATTTTCCACGACATCGCTTTGTTTTTTCCATAATTACCATTGTGTGCTCTCGCTAGAGTCTCATTTCAATTCAATACATTGTCGCATTCACCATGAATCAAGATCAGTTTGAGAAGGAACTCGCCCGCCAACTCGAGATCAAAGACCGAGCGCTGCATCTTACCCGATATAAAAATGGCATATCAATCGACAGCAAAAAGGCGAGATTCCCGGGTTTTCGCCAACAGAAGCGCCATTTCAAGGCCGGACAGCAAGTTGAGCCGGGTGCGCTTCCTCTGAGTGAGGACCTGGTGATGCATGAGAGCGTGCCTACGCAGTTGGATGATGGCACGACGTTGTACAGTGATATTTTTGTCCCGGCAAGTTTCCAAGATCTGGAGTCGAAATACGCCGATCCAGTACCAGCGCTGGTGGCATGGTATGTTTCCGAGTTCTGTCTTGTTGGCTTTGTAGTTGATCGTCGTCGATAGGAGTCCCTACGGAAAGCAAAAGGGCACACCGCTGCTGGACGATTTCCCATTCCGCGCTGGCGTCCCCGAAGAGCACCTCTCCGGCTTGCAGAAATTCGAAGGCCCGGATCCCGACTTTTGGTGCCCGCGAAATTACGCAGTCATCAACGTCGATACGAGGGGTGCGTATTCATCCGAAGGCGATCTCCTCATCATGGGTCACCAGGAGGCTCAGGACGGTGCCTCGTTCATCACTTGGGTTTCGAAACAGCCCTGGTGTAACGGTAAAGTAGCTTTGACTGGGAACAGTTGGTTGGCCATAGCCCAGTGGCGTATCGGAAGTATGCGTCCGCCGGGACTGGCTGCACTCGCCCCATGGTAAGTTTTCTTATATGCACTCAGAGGACACATCTAGCTAAGACCATGAACAGGGAAGGCTTTTCCGACTTCTATCGACACCACATGTTTAGCGGCGGAATTCTGTTTCCGGGGTTTCACGAATCAATCTCCAGTGAGTTTCAATTGATACACATGCTATTGTCGGCAATCTGCTCACTGAGGTGATCTCTAGGTACTCTGGCGACGCAAGGAAAGCTCGAAGACATCACCTCTCACGGTCGAGAGCATCAGCTCTACGATGCGTACTGGGAGGACAAGATTGCTCACCCAGAGCGTATCAACGTGCCAGTCTATGCTGCTGCCTCATGGACGAACCCTGTTCACACCCCGGGAACCTTCGAGGCATGGGAAGCCGTCCCGGACACCGTTCCCAAGTGGCTCAGAGTCCACAACTCCCAAGAATGGTCCGACTACTACGAGGATTGCAACCAGAAAGACCTGCTCCGCTTCTTCGACCGTTACTTAAAGGACCAAAATAACGACTGGGAGACCACGTCCAAAGTCCGTCTCAGCGTGCTTCATTTCGGCTTGGTGAACCAACAGGATACGGTAGGACGCCCAGAGGCCGACTTCCCTCTGGCGAGGACGCAATACACCAAACTCTTTTTGCAGGAAGACAACACCCTGTCAGTCGAAGCGGATGCCGCTGAATCTGCGTTGCCCTATGATTCCCAATCTGGAAAGCAGACTTTCCTCTACCAATTCGACAAGGCCTGCGAGACGACTGGGTATTTTTGCGCACATCTTGTGATGTCGTGTCCGGAGCATACGGACATGGATGTCTTTGTACAAGTTGAGAAGTTGTCGGCTCTCAGGCATCCCCAGGCTGTGCAGACGATCAAGCCCCAGAACGTTGTATTGCAACGACTTCTGAAGTTCATGCACGATTGGAACATTCTACCTGGTGGTGCCGGCATGGCCTTTCACCGGGGGCCCAGTGGATGTCTGCGTGGCAGCTTTGCCTTGGGGCGCGACAAGCAGCGCAGTAAGGTTTACAAGCCGCATTACACATTCACGGAGAAGAAAAGCCTTAAGAAGGGCGAAAGGCGAGCCCTCGATATCCCGATGAGCCCTATTGGCATGTTCTGGGAGGTAAGGCATTGCATGATTTGAGCTAGACACGAGCAAATGCTAATAGATGTCTTGTTTTTTATAGAAGGCTGATCATCTTCGGCTGACAATACAGGGCAGTGCGGTTGTCCCATTTGCTTTGCCAGGGTTGGAGATGCACTCTACCGACAACAAAGGCTTGCATGTGGTTCACTGCGGCGGGGATGGCAAGGAAAGTTCGCACCTGTTGATGCCAATTGTGCGATCATAGTGGTCTCAGACCATCCAAGTTATGTTCAAGCTAGGAAAGTTGAGAGAAACGTTGCGACATTAGCATACCATGGGTGAAGGTGGCGCTGAGTGCGGCAGCCAGCTAGTAAAAGATGGTCGGCGCCGGGTTGGTATTGAAAGAGGTTTACCGGTTCGAGATGCAAAGTCCACGTGCTGGGGAGGCAAAATTTTCGTCATGAAGGGCGGCATGGCTTTTATAGACTCCCAGCGATGATCAGTGGCAGCCACATGGCGGAGCTACCTCAGAACCGTCCGCATGTCTTTCCGTTTGCGAACAGCTGCGCGCGCTGCGATCGTCGAGCATTCATCGGCATTTCACTAACGAGAGGGAACAAAGAGAAAGAATAGGGGGGACGCTCTCACAACCGTACGGGAAAATTGCCACATTTTAAAAGTCCAGCTCATAAGTATTTACTATTAGCTGCAGTCGAAAGCCAATCCTTTATCATTAGGCCCCAGGGAAGCAGAAATTCACGGTCTTCGTACGGCCGGCCATCCATTCTCAAGTCTCTCATCCGCTGCTATTTTTTGCTTGATCTCAAAACCTTCTTTCCTAGAACAGAAAGCGACGTCAAAATAAAAATAAGCCCAGACGAGAATGAGGTCCCCTCATTTGTTCGCCTTCCTGGTGGGCTTCTTTGCGATCCTAGCCAGTGCCAGCCCAAGTATTTCGGATTACCCGCCATGCGCAGTACGCCTTTCACGCCCCCATCCTTCCCACTTTGACTGGAAGATAACTAAATTCTAATACACAGGTGGCCTGTATTATCGATGCGCTGCCTCAGTCGCCATGTTCTGGGTTAAACCAGACCTGCCTCTGCGCCGACCCAGTCTTCAACGAGGAAGTATCGGGTTGTGTGAAGCAAGGCTGCACCGTCAGCGAAGCTCTCAGTAAGAGAATATTTTGATAGCATACATGAAATCCATTTTCTCACCGTCAATCTAGACGTCGCAAACATGACTTGGGCGGACTGCGGCTTTCCGTTGACAGATAATACGGCTATACCGCGATACCTTACAGGATTTCTCTTCATATTGCCCGTCGCTTTTATATCCATTCGGTTACTAAACAAAGCCATAAGCCCATCTCCATGGGGTGCTGATGACGCCTGCGCCCTGGCTGGTTTCGTAAGTGGCCCGTACTCAGTCGTCAGTGTCGCTCACGAGACCAATACCTTGCAGGCTTGTGCAGCAGCGATGATTCCCATCGTCTATCGACGTGAGTAGAATAAGACGCTTTTCTCGGTAATGGCTACAGCTGACGATTTTGGCAGTGCTGGCCCTCGGACTTGGTAGAGACATCTGGACTCTCCAACCTTACAAGATAACCGAATTCCTCAAAGCACGATGGCACCCAAATCATTCACGCTTCCATGCTTAACGCTAAAGTCTTATAGCTGGTTTTTATCACTCAGATATTTTATATCACCGGATTAGCCACTATCAAAGCCTCCATGTTGTTTTTCTATCTTCGAGTATTTCCATCCCTTCCTTTCCGACGCCTCTTGTGGGCCACGCAAGGTTTCAACGCTTTGATATTCTTCTTGTACCTCGTTCTCACTTTTGCTCAATGCCGTCCATTGCAGAAATATTGGCTGGGATGGTCTGGCGATCAGCCAGGCGTTTGCATGGATTTCAACTTGCTGGTTCTGACACACGTTGGCTTCAACATCGCTTTGGACATCTGGATGCTCATCCTGCCGCTCACGCAGTTGTACAAATTGAAACTGGGATTGAAGAAGAAGGTTGGAGTGATTATGATGTTTAGCGTGGGGTTTTTGTAAGTGAAAGCCAGCCCCGGAGTATTGCATCGTCGCTCACCACGCCTACAGTCTCACTGCAGTCAGTGCCCTTAGAATTCAAGTTGTGGCTCATTTTGCGACTGCAAACAATATCACATGTAAGCAGCGTCTTCCCACTCAGGACCGCGATTATAACTAAGAGCCTTAACTGTAGCCGAAGCGCTGTGGGTGTATGTCTGGTCGCTGGCGGAACTCGATGTGGGAGTGTTTGTGGCATGTATGCCTAGCGCAAGTCAACTCTGGAGGCGCGTGTTTTCAAAGACCGCAAATCGTTCCAGTATGTTACATCATGAAGAGCGATCAAGGTCATCAAAGAAACCACCGAACTCTGAAGACCTTTTGCTTCGGTCAACAGCAAACTCGTCTGTGGTCGATCAGTCATTCAAATAGAGCTTCGGAGGGTCAGATGCGCAAACAAAATATTTGCAATAAGGATACTACGTTTAATAGCCGGCTCTGAGTTCAGTCTGATATACATGTACAAATTCAATAGATGGATCAATCCATGGATTGCATTTGTGGGCTTTAATAGCCTCAACTGACTTTACATTGAGCTTAGCATTTCCATTAGGAAAACCCAAACTTTTGCTCATCTAGAACGTCTCTTAGATGTTCTCTACCATTCAATCTGTCTGTTTCTATGGAATTAGATGTGTGTTCACTCCAGAATCCTCTATTGAGTTTGTTTTGGCGCTCGTAGAAGGACCCGAGTGTCTCATCATAAGAAGAAACCCGCTCCTCTTGGCCCCCGGCATTCCAAACCTCCCTGTGAAGTACCTCGTTCAACGGTAATCTGGGCTTGGTTGTGTTCAAGTAATTTTGATGAGGCTTCCCGACAGTCATGCCAAATAGCGCAATAACACGTGGTGGAAGCTCCAAGAGCTCCGTGAGCTGAGCCGCATTGTTTCGGGCAGCTCCCACGTAGCACATGCCGAGATCCAGTGACTCCGCCGCAACGGCCATGTTCTGGGCGGCCAAGGCTGCGTCAATAGTCGCCATGACGAACATGTCCATTTTCTCCAGTGCAGGGCTCGGTTTCTGCAGGCGCTTGGCGTTGTTCGCGAGGCGGTTGAGATCGGCGCATAAAAGAATGAACAAAGGTGCCTGACGGATAAAGTCTTGATCGCCAGCAAGAGTTGCAACCTGGGCTTTGCGGACTGGGTCGGTTATGGCAACTGCACTCCAGGTTTGGAGCATCGAAGAGGTGGATGCGCTCTGGCCAGCCGCGATGAGACTTTCGAGAGTGCCATCGGGGAGCGTGTCTGGGAAGTAGGAGCGGACGGATGCGTGGTTAAGAAGAAGATCCAAGGTAGGAGACCACGGCGAGTTGCTCATGCCATCTGATGGTCGATGTCCATATCTCTGTTGAAGTAGCCGGGGCTGGTCTTGGTCCATTTTGGGCATGTGGCTGGTATGGAGGTACTGGAGGCACTGGAGGTACTGGAAGATAGAAAATAGATCAAGTAAGCCTGCAACTGGCAAAGAAAAATCCCCTTAACTTGCGCATATGTTGACGCGAAGTATCGCTTTGTCGTTCGATGTCCCGCTGAGACTGAATTTCAAACTTTCGTACTTGTGTATTTGTATTTATACTATACTCTCCACCATAATAGCACACGATTTCAACGTTATCTTCAACGTTATGTTCAAAAAGGTCCATTAGGAGGACAGACCCACGCGTTTGTTTCGCAAAGAGCAGTGAATGCAGATGGCCTTACATGTTCAGTAATTCATCCAAACACTGATATTACCGAGTAGCATACGCAGTGCAGCCAATGATTGATATTTCCGAGGACCACTTTAGGAATCCATATTCAAACGCCAAGCTTCGACTATGGAGAGCCGGAGTAGTCCGTAGTGGGTATCCTAAAGAAGAGATGGGACGAGCACTACCTCTGGCTGCTCGCTTGGGCAATCAAGGCTTGAACATGACAAATCATATGTTACAAATCATGCTGATATTACCAATGGGTTTCGTAAATACCACCTCTTCTCTATCGTTGAAAGTGACTAGCTAGATGATCTAAATAATACATTTCAGATTAAAGCTGTCTGGGATATTGAGAAGTAATAGACAAATTCGGAATATGTAGCTGCAAATTTCAAGGTCACGGTTTCTAGAATACACTTCGGTCGTTCCGTCGTGACGATGAGAATTGGTCTACAGGAGCGCGCAAGGAGTGAATATCAGAGATAGCGCAGACCAGCTCTTTATAAAAGTTCATATGCTAACTTGTGTAGCAAACATGACGATATATATACCAATATCTTGCATACAATGAGTGGAGAGCTTTCACTCAAGTCTCTCGAATGTCACCTGCTCGCCTTCGATGGTGGCTTCCATACTCACTGCTTTTCCTTCCTCAATGGTCAAGATGAATTCATCCTCGCCATCAACAAAACCGATGTCCATCCAAGAACGTTGGTTGTCGAACAACCCGCCAGTACCGCCTTCTGATGCAGCTCGGGGCGGAAGAGGGACTTGATACAGAATCCCACGAAGCGCAGCTCTGAAGGAGCCCTCAGTGTTGTATAGAGCAGAGAGAGACCTTGAATTGGAGTACATGCCGGATGGGTAGAGACGCATTGAGCCCCCAGCTAGCGACTCGAATGAGGCTGATTCGATGCCCAGGCCCGCGTGACCGTCGTCGATATTAAGAGTGATATTTCTTCCATCTGGAGTCTCAAAAACACCAGCAATATTCTGTTTGGCATTTTCGGCGGCAGCGGCCTCGGCGGCTGGGATGAACAACTCGCCAATTGTGTCGCGGATCACCCAGCGAGCAGCGCCGGAGGTAAGACCAGCCACCAAGATTGAGAATCCAATGCCATGGTCGGGAGAGAGCGCAAAAATGCATCCATAATCACCATTCCCGCCGGCTTTGATGTACAAATCAGAGATGCGGGTGCGGTTCGATCCCGGCGTGGCAGGGATCGCGAGACGGGTGATCTCCCAGGGTGCGCCGACAAGCTCGATAAGTGTACCGGTCCCACTAAGGGGCTTCATCCACTGCGAGGTAGTGGCTGGCGAAAGCAGCTCTGAGTTGAGGATGGAGAGCCCGAGAGTACGAAGGTCGGCAGCGTTGGAGTAAATTCCACCGGATGGGTAGACGATTGGAACGTCAAGGCCATAGGACGTCACATCAGTGAAAAGCGCACGATTGATAGCGTTGACGTCAGCACCCTTGGGCACGCTGGTGGTTGTGCTGTCGAGTCCCAGGGGGTTGCTTAGGATATCTCGGACAGCATCCTCGTAAGTCTGGTTTGAGAGACGGGCGAGAACTTGACCGAGCAGAGCGAAACCCGAATCAGAGTAGACGGCATTCCGGAATGGCGAAACCACTGGTCTTTTGTTGTCTCGCATGTAGGTGAAGAGATCTACAGAAGTCAGTCAATGCGAGAGCCGCTGGCATGTAAGCTGTCGTACCTTCAGGAGTGATGGCAGCAAGCTCTTCAATCGTTGTTTTGTTCAAAAGATCTGATTCACATGTCAGTAACAGTCGCTCTCAGAGATCCAAGAGATTGCCTACTTGATGCTCCACCAGAACCCGCTTGCTGTGACGCCAACGCCCCGACAGTGATATCCTCCCAGCGGACATGCTTGAGAGGGTCGCCCGATGAGTTGCACAAAAGCTCAGGAAGGTATTTCGTCACTGGATGGCTGAACACCTCAATTCCGGCTGTGGCAATGATGGCATAGACGGTGAAGAGCTTGCTCACACTGCCGATACGCCCAATAGTCTGGTCGTTGAGTACTCCGGCCGTCAAGCCCTGCTTTCCCTCATCTCCGGCGTGGAAGTAGCTATAGATAGACTTATTGGTTGCGGCCGAGAACACGTCAACGGTGAATACGAGGTCTGTCTTGTTGAGGATATCGCTCTCAAAGAGAGTATCGATTATGGCGGGGAAAGATTTGGTGGCGTTGAGGACAGACCGAGCATTCGTTGGGTCAAAGTTGGAAAGAAAGGAAGGGCCGATAAGAGGAACTTCATCAGATGGAATGGTTGCTGCCGCTGCGGTTGCAGCTGAAGCCAACACACCGAGAAACGCAGTGGAACGCATTTGAACTGTAGTTTCGAAGGATTGGTTCGGTCGATCTATTGAGAAGCCTATGATGAATTGAGTTGTATTGATTGATTTATCTCCAGCTATGCTCGCTCTTATATGCCATTGTGCATCTTAGTCAGACGTCACGATAATTGTCGCGCGCCCGAATCCTACCTTGTGTCCCAGAAGACCTAACTGCCTTTGGCTCATTCGTGCCCTATCGCTTGCCTCGTTGGACAATTGACATGAGGGCGATGCATGGCTGCCAAGGACACGGTCACAGAAGGATCACCTTCCAAAAGCGGATAACGAACGTCAGCGAGACTGCTATGTGATTGGACTATTCGAGTAAGACTGCCTAAATGGGGAATTGAATGTCGACGGTGGCTGAGTCCAAGTTCCCCCTACTGACTTACGAATTGAGGGCTGAGTGCTGTGTCGTTCTGCAGGCCTGCTAATGACTGGTTTCCCTAGCCCATTTTAGTGAGGCTGAGAAGTAAGCAGCGGCTCATCCATGAATGAGATGAAGCTAGTTGTTCACCAAGCAAGTCGCTCACAGCAGAGGCCTGTCGTAACTGCGAGGATTTTGCTGTTGCTGTGCCTCAGATCAAGGCATATTGTCTGAATTAGCTTTCATGGATCTCATCACACGCCTCCAGCTTCAATATTATTGGCTGTTCCACGTCCACCCGTACGATGCTGTGTTGTATGTCGTCGAACGTGCAAGTTGATCTTATGGGACTCGGTGTGATCTTGAAAGCCAATTCTTTGGAGAGACAGTGATGATTCGCAACAGAGCGACTTCGCTGGATGAGTTATTCCTCACGTAGCAGTGCTGCTGATTTACGGTGATCATTCAAGTGTTGTAGGATGCATTGGCGAACAGACGCTTCACCAAACCTCAGGTGGCGAAAATTCTGACGAGGTCAACTGGCGGCAATTCCTACAGGGTGACTGGAACTTAGAAAGATAAGAGGTACCAAATGTATCAGATTCTAAACCAGAGACTTGACTACTAATAGCCTTTTGTTGCAACATCAACGCCGAAATCGACATACCGCCGCCTGTTGCGCCGTCCAACTCTCGCCTCGTGACGGCCACAGTCGCACCCGCCTCAACCTGCATACCAAAAGGCATTTATCCTAGCCCGAAGCTCGAGAGCAACTTTGTCGTCATTGACGTTTTCATAATCTGCCACGTCTATTCCGAACTGTTCGTAGGCGTTATTGTAACCCGGGTTATACTTCTCAGGGTTGGCTCTCCCAGACAGGCAATGAATTCGGAGTGCCGTCCATCGCAGCTCCAGAGCTGTCCAGTCGGGAAGCTCTTGGGGGTCTTGGGCCCAGATCCGAATAAGCTCACCGTTCTTGGGAAGGACTGGAAGGCCTTCCAACTCTTCGTAAAGCTCCTCCCAAGATTCCTGTAGGTCTTGCGGGTCAGTATCCAGGGGAGGTGCCGAGTCCATCAAGCTTGACAAGGTCGTCGTTTTGAGAAGCCATCGAACACGAAGGACGATTCCGTACTCTTTTCCAGCGTCGATGTCACTCTCCTGTAGTCGCCGTCCCTCGTTGAAAAGATCTGACGCCTCGTCATCGTTCGCGTCTGGCGTCCTGGCTTTGACAGTGGCCTCTTGAGTCGATGGCACGCTATCGGTATGCGCTGTCGTTGCAGTTGAGTCGGAGATGCTGGTTGAGGCGAGCCTCGAAGAAAGCTCAGAGACTTCTCCAGCACCCTGGCTTCGCCGGCAGTAACCCACGGGCTCAAAGGTAAACAGTCCCTTCTCCCAACACTGACGCATCTGCCCACTGAGACAAATCATGTTACAACACTTATCCACGATATTACGCTCCGCAACTCTGTTCTCCCTGTTTCTGTCCTGGGACATGAATTTGTTCCTAACATAGGCAACAGTATAAGGTCCAAATAGAGCGTGCCAGGAAGATACAGTTGTATTCATTGTGTAGTGCCATTTGAGTGTCCAAAGTGGCACAATATGACAGGCCTCATCAGCCGGGTTGTGTGTGGCCACACAGAGACCCTGGTCGCGCATGATGGCCTGAAGAGCGGTTAGCTACAGTATATTTTTGTCTTTCGGACGATATAGAACCTTATTCTTCTCAGCTTCATTGCGAATAACAACGCGGCCTTGGTCCCACGGCTCGTCCGGGTCTCTTCCAACTGGAGAAACGTCAGTATACGCTTACGAGACTTCGAGAAGAGCAACTTACACCAATACACAAGCTCTCCCGCATACATCAGACATTGGATGAGGTCTGAGTAACGTTGTTTCTGGTCATTTGAATGGAGACGCTCATTGAGGTACCTGAGTTGCTTGATGTCCATGACCATGAGCGTACACCAACATACCGCCTGCTCCAGAAACTTGAGATCATTCTCGAACCGCATACCATCAAGACCCGGATCTGATTGACAGACTGTAAGGACACTTTTGATTAGTCGCTGCCGTTCTGTTAAGTCGTCGTCAACATAGTCGATCCGGGCGCCTAGAATGCTCTCGGGAGGCTCGTTAGTGACGTCCATGTCGCGAGAATTGACAATTTCGACGGAGGGTTTGCGAAACTTGCAGGAAATTTCCCCTCTGTACTTGGCAAACTACTTTTAAAGGATATGAAAGGATTCGGAGATACGACCTTGCTAAATCACCGTCCAGGTCGGATTACCTAGTACGCACGTAATCATAATAAGCAGCACCACTCACACATAGCACACAAGGGACCTATGCGAAGAAAGACCGCCCTCACAGGTGGTTCATATTGACTTTTTCTTTAGGTTTCAAGTAACAAAGGGCCGTTTCTGTCATCATTGTTGTCACTATCATTGTCCGCCCGCATTGGAATATTCGTAGGTGTTCGTGGAACACCTCGTAGATAAGACCATCTCCATAAATAGCTCTTGCCTGAGGCCCTCTCTGTCATTTACAACTCGAAGAGAGAAGTTTTCGTCGTTGTCAGTCCAGTGTGGGTTGTAGATCTCAGGGTCAACATCTCCTCCCAAGCGGAGAACCCTGAGAGCAAACCACTGAAGTTTCAACGCGTTCCAATCGGGTAGCTCATCCGGGTTCTTTGCCCAGATCTTGATGATACGGCCGTTGGTAACCGGACGGTCTGAAAATACATGGTGTTTCGACTTGAAGTTGTCGAAGGGTGCTTGTATGTCGCGTGGATCCGTGTCCAAGGGGGGGCTCTCCGCGTTAAGGCTGGTCAAGGTCGTGGCAGGAAGCCAGTGGAAGCGGAGCACGATGCCGTACTCGTACCTATCTTCAATGTCCTGCTTGAGAAGCGGGCGTCCTTCGCTGAATGTTTCGGGCAATTTGCCCTTCTCATCCGTCCACGGCTTCTTGTGGTCGTTGTCGAGGTCCATGTCAACTTGACTTGACCGTTTGCTGGGATCATTGTGTGCCGTGACTGGTTCCGTGTCGGAGGCAGAGGTGAACATCGACGACAGCTTTGCATCGATTGCCTCGTCCTCCTCGATACTAGTGCCATCAAGATCGAGTTCATTGAGATCCGCGTCCAGGACTTCCCAAGAGTCCCCGGAGCCCTTAAGCCTTCGGCAGTGGCCCACGGGCTCTAGACCAAACAGTCCCTTCCCCCATAACCGATGCAACTCCGGGCTGAGGCACAGCATGTTGGAACACTTGTCCACGATGTTGTTCTCGCCCGGCGCCGTGTTATCGTCGTTTCTAGAAGTAAACTTCGTTTCAAGCCGGGCAGAGACATCGAAATCAAAGAGAATTCTCACGAGTGACAGCAGTCCGTTGATCATCGTTGACCTATTGACCGTCCAGAAGGGCACGATGTGGCACACTTCGCAAGTTTCCCGCGTGAACAAGCAGTGTCCTCCATCACGCTTCAAGGCCTGTCACGTGGTTACTTTTTTCAATCCACCAAATGCTATCTTCGGAACCCTACGTACCTTCTGCATTTCAGCCTCGCTGCGACTATCCCGATGTTCGCTGGGCTTCGTTGGTCTTTCTGTGACTGTAAACTCGTTAGCTAATGACGATACTTACGTTCAAGCAAACGAATTGATTTGACTCACACCACCAAACTAGCTCATGAATGTGCCTGAGCATGTCGATAAATGCACAGTAGGCGTCGCGCTTGCTGATCGGGTTCTGAAGTTTCTCGTCAATTCCCTTCAAGAGGTCAAGGTCCGTCGCCATTAGTGTACACCATCCTCTCGCGTGGCCCAACAACTTGACGCGCTCCACAGTACCAGAACTTGCGAAGTCCGGGTCCGAGAGACAGTTGTGTATAATTCTCTGGACAAGCTCCTGCATTAGGTCCACTTCGTCGAAGTGATCTAATCTTCCACGCATGGTGTCGTCGATGGTGTCCGCGACGATTTCTAACTTGTGCGTCGGAATACGCCCTCAGTATCGCGGAGCACTGGACGATAGAGACGGTCAGCACGATGTCGGAATTATAGTTACTTCTAATGTATGTGCTTGGTTGCTGCCTCAGTAATGAGGGTAGTAGCACCTTTGTGTCTACTACCCTTTGGGTTCCAGCAGGGTTGCTTGGTCTCCTTTTCCATACTTGTACTATGTTGAATATATGGAGTTTTGTTGGGCGGGCAGTGTCTAATATTGTCGTTTGTCGCCGTCATTTATCATCGTCGTCCATCATCGTTATCCTTATCACTAACCCTATCGTTTTCTTGACTACTGTCGTCCTTATGCGAATAGAGGTACTAGGTACGATAGTTAAAGTTATAGGGTACACTGCCCGGCTACGCAAAACTTTACATGGTATACATGATAATATGGGCGTCTCCGCCACAGACAACCACCAACCGGCAGAATCAGACGTTGAAAGTCGCTCGGGTCGTTCTATTGGCAGCGTCCCATGTTGTCTCAACGAGCACTTTAGTGCGAGATTCATCATCTCCTGGTGCTCGAAAGCCTCAATTCTCATCAAAGTCGTCCCAATGCGAGCCGGACGTCTCGGGATCTACGAACTGTAAGCCAAAGACACGTACGTTCGATGAGCCAGAGACAATAGCTTACACCGCCAGACGGGCTATTCCACGAACACCAGGCAGTTCGTGAACTCTCTGAAGGCTCGAATCCTATGGGCTGGATCCTTCAATTTCGCGTCAGTCCTTGAGAAGAGCAATGTCCATCACTAAGAGCGAGCACCAAGACACAGCGTTGTTCAACACTTCGAGCTGTAGCTGGCGACGCCATCTGTCTATAGATGGCTCCGAGTCACAGGTCTGAAGAACAGTGTCCAGAAGTTGCTGCCGTTCGGACAAGTCCGCCTCACCGAGGTGACAGAGCCGCTCGCGAATGATGCCCTCAATCGTCGCTCATGCGTGGCATGTTGCACTCGATTAAGCGTCAGAAATAGTGTAAGACAATGGTGATACCGCGGGTGGTCACTGAGGGTCGACGCGGCGGTACGAGAACTCTTTGCAGGTTTCGTTGGGTCCGCAAGGGTTGCAAGGTAGATGACCATGAGCCATAGGCTAGCTACACTTACCCGCGCAGGACAGCTGCGATCATCAGAACCTCAAGGGTTTTGGCGTGGACTGGCACTTATATTTGAAAAAAGAAAATCGTTGATAGTATCGGGAATCATCCAGGCGGTATGTCCTGGCAGTCTATGTACCTATCTACAGACATCAAGAAATGGGGTCTCGTCCACTCATCACTCATTAACAGCCCTTCCTTTTTTCCGGGGGCACCAAACTCCATTTTGTCCATCCCTGCTTTTTTTGTAACCTTCGCTTACTGGAGCGCCTGAGCAAGCTTCTGCACCAACTGGCGGGTCTCGGGCTCCAACTGCTCCTCAGGGGGGCCGAGGACGGTCTGCAGCACGGGAATGATCTTGTTGGTGAGCTGCTGAACCGTGGGGTTCTGCTGGTCGTACAGCTTGTAGATGGCCTGGTAGATGGGGGCGTTCTCCTCGAAGTCCTCCTTGAGGGGCAGGACGGCGACGACGGCGGGGAGGACGCGCTCGACGAACTCGGGGTTGGGGTTGGTCATGATCATGCGGCAGATGCAGCCGGAGACGTTGTCAACCATGCGAGACTCCTGGATCGACAGGAGGGGCTCGAGCTTCTGGAGGATGGCGGGGTAGTGGGGGATGGTCTTGTCGGTGGCGGTGGAGTTGAAGATGAGCTGGCCGGTGGCGTAGGCGGCGTTGGACTTGGCCAGAGGGTCGGAGTCGGTGAGGCGGTGGTTGAGGATGGGGAGGAGGCCGTCGGTGAAGGGGGTGACGGCGTTGCCCATGTACTTGATGGCCTCGGCGATGACACCGACGGAGGTGGAGCGCTCGAGGTTCTCCTGGGAGCTGGCGAACTTGAGGATGGGCTTCTCGAAGACCTTCCACATCTCGGCGAAGTCGGGGCCGAGGGCGGTGGCGAGGCCGAGGATGACATCCATGGCGGTGTCAATAACAAGCCAGTCGAGCTCGGAAGAGCCCTCGGCCTCCTGCTCCTCCTCGTCACCCATGTCCTGCTGGCAGGGGTGGGAGCGGGTGATCAGGCAGCCAAGGACAGTGACGGAGTCCTTAAGCAGGTCATCGTGGGTGAGGATGGCAGGACCGCAAGCCTTGAGGGTAGCAGCGATGTTGCGGTTGATCTCGGTGATGACATCACTATGAATTCGTTAGCAATCATTGTCATCACAAGCTTGGCTGATGAAAGTAAGAGATTGCCCATTGAATCAGACGTGATCAAACGTGTTCTCAGCACCCGCACTTTGTGCGTCTGAGTGAGCTGGGTATAACGTGTGTTACTCATCCTTTTGGGGCGGGGGAATTTCAAGACAGGAATATAGAAATGGCAGAATACATACCGCTCAGTGTCCTCAGCCCAGATGTTGTTGGTGGACTTGACGACGAGCTCGCCAAGCTTGACCAGGACGGCATCGGGCTGCTGCTTAAGAGGAATGCCGGCCTCCCACTTGGCACCGGTCTGCTCCTCGAAGAGTTGCCAGACGCGGGCGTACGAGCGCCAGAGGGTAGAGATGGCAGCCTTGCGGGCACCGTCGTAGGGGTGCTCGGCAAGAGGGGCGATGCGCTCGACAGCCTTGTCAAGGTACTCCTTGATGGCGTTGGCGTCGCAAGAGTGGGTGATGACGTCGCCGAGGACCTCAAGAGCAATCTCCTGCTCCAGGGCGACGGCGGTGACACCAGAGTAGTCGTCCATATCATCCCACTCGTCCTCATCGTCGTCTTCCATCTCGTCCTCGGTGGACTTGACACGGATCTTCTTGCCGTTGGCAATGAGAAGACCCTCAGGGAGATCCTCAGGCTTGAGGCCAGGGATGTTGACATCCTCCTCGTCGAGCTCGAGGCAGTCGAAGAGGCCCTTGAAGACACCGGGGAGGAAGTGGGAGAACTCGTTGCCGTAGACCTTGGACAGAGAAGCCCAGAGGATGAAGCTGGTCTCCTTGAGACGGGCGTTGTCGAGGCTGAGAGCCTCCTCGCTGGCCTTCATCAGGTCCATGACGTAGGGCTGGAACTCCTGGGCACCGACGGCGTCGGCAATGCGGCCCATGGAGTCGCAGACGGAGGAGCGGAGAGCAAGAGCCTCCTCGCTGTCCTTGATGTTGACGTACTGGCCAAGAGCGCCCATGACCTCCTTGAAGTAGGGCTTGAACTCCTCGCCGCCGAGAGCAGAGGCGATGGCACCGATGGCGCCGGCAGCAGCGGACTTGACGCTGAAGTCGTCGTGGCCGAGAAGCTTGCCCATGGGGACGATCAGCTTGGGGCCGAAGGTCTTGATGAGCTGGTCATCGAGACCCTCGCCAATGAGGGAGTCGAGAGCACCGCAGGCGGCACGGATGATGCTGATGCTCTGCTTGTCGGAGCCAGCAGAGGCAGCCTCGAGGTTGGTGAGGAGGGCGCTGATGAGAGCCTCGTGCTGAGGAGCGAGCTCCTCGGCCATTTCGTCGGCAAGGTGGATGACACCGACGAGAGCGGCGTGGCGGACAGAGCTGTCCTGGTCGTTCAAGAGCTGGATGATCTGGGGCATCAAAGGCTGGAGCTGGGTAGCGATGAAGTCGGGAGCACCCTCAGCGGCGGTACCAAGAGAGAGGATGGCAGACTTGCGCAGACCGGGCTGGGGGCTCTGGGCGAAGGTAGGGAACTGCTCAAGCAGAGGAACGATGACCTGGCGAGGAGGAAGGTCGCTGGCCAGCTGGTCGATGAGGCTCAGAGCGGTTCTAGCGGGAGAGCTGTCATCCTCGTCGGCGTCGTTGTCGATCTCGGCGACGATCTGCATGCTCTTGACCATGAGCAGGGCGCCCATGTCCTTCATGCCCTGGATCTTGAGGCGGCGGTACCTGGCGCTCTGAGCGAGGAAGACGAGAGCCTGGGAACGGGCATCGTCCTCAACCTCGGTGTTGACACCGAGCTCGATCATGAACTGGATGAGGTCCTTGAAGTGGTTGGCGAGGTAGGCAGAGTCGTAGGTCATGAAGTTCTGGAGGACCTCGAAGATGTCGTTGTACTGGTCATCGTTGCCCTGGTCGATGGCGTTCTTGAGGATCTCAACGGTGGGCTGGATCATGGTCTGGATGATCTCAACGCACTCAGTGTTGTCCTCCTCGACGTCGACGAGCGCCAACAGAGCGCTGACAGCCTTGGCCGAGTTCAAGCGGACCTCAATGCTGGCGGGGTCGACAATGGTCTTGGCGATCAAGCTGAGCAGAGCCTTAACCTGCTCAACGAAGGGGAGAGGGTCGTTCTCGAGCAGGCAGACCAAGATGAAGGAGCCAATCTCGCGGTGGGCGACGTTGTCGGAGGTGTTCAGGGCAAGGAGCTCGCGAACGAAGTCCTGGCCCTCGCCATCCTCGAGGTCAACGCCGACGGCACCGGCGAGGAGACGCGACTTGGAGTGGCGGGAGGTAGAGGACTGGTCGTTCAGGATGCTCTCGGTGAGGTGCTTCTTGGCAAGCTCCTTCTTGTCAGAAGGGAGCTTGGCCCAGTGCCTGGGAGTCAGGCGCAGAGCCTGCACCGAGGCGAGCTGTCGGATGCCAGCATCTTCGTGAGAGATGGTGACCTCAATCAAGAGGAGGAGGGACTCGGGCTGGGAGTAGTAGTTCTTCTGCAGCTCGGCCGTGACTGCCTTGACCTTCTCGGTGTCGGCTGTGAGGAAGAAAAAAAGTCAGTAAGGCAAATCTCGAGAAGAGTTTTGTAGGGTGAAGAAAAAGCAAATTTTAAATAGGCGAGAGACACGAAGCGAAAGCAGGCAGGGAGCGGAAAAAATTGAAGAGGCTGGCTCGACTAGGTTTGGCGGCCAGGGTGGCACAGGGCGAGCGACGGGGGAGGAGAGAACAACTTACGAATCTGGCTCGCTTGGAGCAGCTGGACCAAGTTTCCTTTATCCATCTTGAAGTTG